CGTGAGAGAGAGTGGGCACCTCCCAGAACATTGTATTGTGCCACTCCCAACAGAAATAACCCAGGTGGATAGCCTCAGCAATCAGGGGCTGCTCAGTTGCTCATACAAAATCCCACCTTGGAGTTTACAAAGACTTATGGATAGAAAAGCCACACTAAGTAATTTACTACACCGCACACATTCATTGTTGAAAAGAACATTTCAAGATCTATCCTGAAATACAATACTGTCAGTGATAGAATAATATCTGTATACCTACAGGAAAGACCAGTTAAAATGATTATTATTCTAATTTACATACCAACTACTAGTGCTGAAGATGAAGAATTGAAGATTTTTACCAACTTCTGTAGCCTAAAATTCATCAAACATGTAGTCAAGATGCATTGATAATTACTGAATTTTGGACTACAAAAGTTGGAAACAAAGAAAGATGAGTAGTTGGTAAATATGCCCTTTGTGATATAAATGATGCCAGAGATTGTATGATAGAATTTTGTAAGACCAAAGACCTATTCATTGGAAATAGCTTTCTTCAACAACATAAATGGAGGCTACACACATGGAGTTTGCTACATGATGAAAACAGGAAGCTAAGTCAACTCTATCTGTTATCCTTGTTAGGTGCCATTGAGTTAGCTCTGACTCATAATGACCTTATGTACAACAGAACAAAACATTGCCCAGTCCTGTGCCAGACTCACAGTCCTTGCTATACTTGAGCCCATTGTTGCAGCCACTGTGTCAATACCCTTGGTAAGGGTATTCCCCATTTTCACTGACCCCCCACTTTACCAAGCATGATTTCCCTCTCCAGGGAATGGTCCCTTCTGACAACATGACCAAAGTAAGTGAGATAAAGTCTGGCCATTCTCATTTCCAAGGAGCATTCCAGCTGCATTTTTTCTAAGTCAGATTTGTTAACTCTTCTGGCAGTCTGTGGGACTTTCAGTATTCTTCGCCAACACCACAACTCAAAAGAATGAACTCTTCTTAGGTCTTCCTTGTTCACTGTCCAGCAGTCACATGCATATGAGACTACTGAAAATACCATGGCTTTGGTTAGGCGCACCTTAGTCTTCCAAGAGACATCTTTGCTCTTCAACACTTTAAAGAAGTCTTTTGCAGCAGATTTGCCCAGTCCAGTATGGCATCTGATGTCTTGACTGTGGCTTGCATTGGTGTTGATTAAGGATCATTTCTACCACCAAGGCCATATTTCCAACTACTGGTGATTCTTGTTTCCAACTTTCGCATTCCAGCCACCAGTAATAATCAGTATATCTTGATTGCATGTTTTGTCAATTTCAGACTGCAGAAGTTGGTAAAAATCTTCAGTTTCCTCCTCTTTGGCTTCAGTGGTTAGTGTGTATATTTGAATATCAGTAGTATTAACTGGTCTTCTTTGTAGGCATATGGATATCATCTTATCACTGACAGCATTGTACTTCAGGATAGATCTTGAAACATTCTTTGTGACAATGAATACCATGCCATTCCTCTTCAATTTGTCATTCCCAGCATAGTAGATGATATGGTTGTCTGATTCAAAATGGCCAAAACCAGTCCATTTCAGCTCACTAATCCCTAGGATGTTGATCTTCATGCAATCCATTTCATTTTTGACAACTTCCAATTTTCCTACATTCAAACTTTATTTGTTCCACATTCTA